AATGGGGAACATTTTTAAGACAGAGTGTACCCTATGAGTAAATGCAGTGTCTGCTAAGTGTACTAAAAACCCTAGGAGCTTTGATCAAATGCCAGCTGTTACATCAGTTCTGCTGGTAATCTTTCTTGCTGATCTGTGACCTTGACCTTGTGCTTGTGTCTGTATGTCAAATCTGTTTTAGGGATGGGGAAACCATAGTTGAATTTAATAGGATTAATGCTCCAATCTCAAAGGATGTCCCTGTATATATACTATAAACACTCACAGTTCCAGAAGAAGAAACAACCATTTTCCATTCTATTTCTTATTTTGATAGAGATTGGAAAATATTATACTTTTGACAACTGATAGCATTAGTTACTCTAAAGAGCTATAGGGAAAGATTAGGAGAAGCTATATGCTCTATTAGTTTTATATTTAAACTTCTTTTTTTTTATCCTTATATGCTACCAAAATAATTTGTTAATGATTATTTTGTGTTCCTTCAGAGAAACTATTGTTTATTTGAGAACAGTGGAAGACAGTGAAGAGACATTAGTATAATGATAAATTTTGTTTGTACTCTCTGTCATACAATAATTCTTTTCCTAGACTTTTTAAAATTATTGTTAGAATAACTTTTACTTAATAATATTCTGCTTTCTGTGTTTTTAAGACAGTATAGCACAGCATCCAGGAACGTGTTGTGTATTTGAAAGAGAAATTGTTTTGCAGTTTAGCTCTTTCTGTAGCTCTTTTGATTCTCTTGCTCTTTGATTTTTAACTTAAGGTCTCCAACTTTTTCATCTTAATTTAATTTTGATTTAAAATTAAAATTTTTTTAGATAAGCTAAAGAGGAAGCATAAAATGAATAGCAGATTTATTGAATCTGATTCATATATATATAAGCCTTTTGAGGAGAATTCAGAACCAAGAAGCCTGTCTTTATTTCACTGTATCAATTGTATGGGTGATTTGTTTCTGTAACCAGGACTGTTAGTTCATCACTCTCTTGCATTTGTATATGTCATCAAAGATCATGCATCGTTACTCTTATCTTGTATTTTATTCATTATATAGCCATTATAAAAGAAGCTAAAGTTCTGGTTTAAATATAAGCTCATATTTAGCTTTTAAATAAACATCTGTTTGACATTCTATGACCCTACTGAAGAATGTAGTGAAGATAAATAACTTTTTGGGGATTGGGTGGGCAGAGTGTATGGCTATTTCAAAAACCATTTCCTTCTCCTAGAATTCACTAAAAAGACTATAAAACATATTGGTCAGGGCTATTTCCACAACTTTATGACAGCATATCATCTTTCTGGTTAAAATGCTTGTCATTTTTATCAACTACAACTTGACATATTACATGGAATCATAGAAATAAAATTTTAAAGTTGAAGAGGTCCTCAGATACATATGTCCTTGTTGAAACGCTTGAGTTAGTCAAGCAATAGTGTCTCCTAGTGAGTTCTTGTTAGTAGGGTATGTGAGTGACACTATTTTACTCCTACAGAAGCAGCTGACAAGCAAGTTAAAGCTGATAGACCTGGAAGTTAGGAGCAAATTTGGCCTTGAGCGAAAATATGTAAGCCCCTCAGGTTGCAACGGAAAGCAATCCAGACACCTGTTCTACTAGCTACAGTGTCAGTCAGTGGTTTCCATGCTACCTATCTCTGAAGAGTATTTATACCTAAACCTAAAATGAGAACCTCTGGGAGAGAGCAAAAAACTCTTCAGGTCAAATTTCAAGTATTGAGGCCCTCAGTCAAACAACATGTTTTTAGATAAGTTCATTTTTTGGCACCTATTGTACAACCACATATCTACCTTTTGATAAAGATGGTACTTCAAAGAAAGTTATTATCTTGGGATTCAAATTCCATCAGAAGACATATACTAATTTTGATTTATATTTTGCAAGAAATTAGAAGTATATTTTCATAAATGAAATTTCAGGTTGATTCTTTTACTATTCTCTTATTATTCCCTGATGTGCAATATCAACACTTGCATGTTTATTTTATTCTTTTTCTAATGTTTCTTTCCAACAACTTTATAACTTTTAATTTATAGTAGAGCACTTACTGTAGTCTTTTTAATGAAGCTTCAGGACTCTTATCTAACATGTTACTTTTCCTTTCTTCTATGAGATTAAGTATCAGATTTGATATATTCTAATTTTTCATTGGCCCTTGGTTTGGAAAGCTAATTTCATCTTTTTGGATAAAATGTTTAGTATTACATCCTATTGATAAATTGTTCTTGGGTTTTGTTTTCTGTTCCACTTGTAAAACTTCATTTCAAAGTTCTACCTTAGAGCATACCTCTAACCCTTGCTAGGGAGAGGCAAAGATATAAAATGTAACCAAAATGTTAAAAAAAATAAAATAAAATTTATTGGATGTCAGGCAGGTGGGAGGGGGGAGAATGGGATGGATATTTACTTACAGAGTGAGTGCTTTGCACACTGTCTGGGGGATGGACATGCTTGAAGGTCTGACTCAAGGGGGGAGGAGAGATAAGGGCAATGTATGTAACCTTAACGTTTGTACCCCCATAGTATGCTGAAATAAAAAAAAAGTTCCACATTAGAGAACACTGAGAGTTTTCTGAATACGTGGATCTATATTGTTTAAATAAAAGCTTCAATAATTAGGACTTTGGAATCTTCTTAGTATGTACTTAGATATTTTTCTTCTAATACTTAGTAAAACATATTAATGTCTTTCTTAATCTTTTGTATAAAAAGTACCCTTGAAATAATCCACAGTGGAATGTAGATATTATTTTCCCATAGGAATTATTCTGAATGATATTATTAAGTAGCCCTCCAATTATTTCTGCATTCAGAGTAAGGAATCTAAATGCTCCTTAAAGCTGAATTGCAGAAATTCCATCAAATTTAGTACTTAACTAGAGACTATTCGATAATGCATAAGAAATTGGGGGAGATTGCATGGAAACAATTGGAAGTCATGAGATATTCCTTAAACATAATTTAAATAGCATATCAAATGACTTCATAGATATTTAATCATTTAAGTATGCTCTAATGGAGAATCCAACTGCAAGTAAGAAACTGAATTTTTTCTTTAAAAACAGCTGGAGAAAGAATTTTGTCATTATTTATCTATTCTCAACCAAAAGTAGTCCAACACGTAAGAATTCTATTAGGTGGATCTTGCATTTATCTAAGTAACTTCTTATTACTTGGATTTTACCATTTTAAAGTGTGTAAAAGTTCAGCAGAGTTTCTTTTGGTGTAATAAATCATTTTCAAAAAGAGAATGTAAAGCACTTTGCAATGGAAATGGTTTTACTTTGGAGAATCCATAAAACACCCATTTGTGAACTGTTAATATGCAAATTATTTACAACTTTTATTGTTAAAGCTCTTAAAAAAGTTACACTTCAACCTAATTTCATACCTTCCAGGTACTTAAAAGAAAATGCAGCTCTTTTTAAAATATAATTTGTAATTCAATCATTTTACTAGATATTTCATTCAAATAACCTGTAAAACTTGGATATTTCCCAAAGTCTGTCTATACATATGGTCAAGTTCCATGGATTTTGATTTCATTATTTTTTTAATAATTATGTCTCACCATAACAATAACTTTTTTGTATGTTTACTGGATTATTATTAATACAAAGTATATTAAAAAGGATACAGATGAACACCAGATGAAGAGATGAATAGGGCAAGGTTTGGAGGAAGGGGCTCCGAGCTTCCAAGCACACCATGAGTTCGGCTATCATTTTTTATCTTTTTAATCAATAAATCTAATAATTTGATACAATCAAATAATTATTTTCTAAAGTTTGACTTTCAGTTAAGCATTTCACCCAAAATGCTACAAGGTAGTCTTTAAAATTAATTTTTTCAGTTTCTTGGGGACCAAGGTAGTTGTTGATAGAACTTAGGGAGTCTAATAACTTGAACAACATGTTTTGGCATCTTGAAAAAGAAAACATGGAATTCATTCCAGCTTCTCTTCCAAAGAGTGTAATGGTTCCAATCTTTAGATCTGTTTTGACAAAAACCTTATCTAACAGGTTTGCAGAAATTAAATGAATCATTGCTTCTTCAGTTTTATATATACCGGTGATAGAAAATTGTTTGGTACCTTCTTGGATAAATATCAGTGAACTATTTTTCCAATTCTGACTAACAAGTCTTTTGACATTTCTCATTGTACTGCGCGTATATAGTAATGTTCTATCTTCTATGTCTGTACGGAATGGACCTGACATTACAAGTTCTGCATAGGGCACATGAGTAAGGATTTTAAAACAACCGTGTTAAACCTTTGATACCCCTGAAAGAGCACTATAGGTGGATAAGCTCTGACTGTATTTTAATGTTTATGAATATGATTAAGACTGCCACGCTTTGTAAGGCCCACAAAATAATCCTAAATTTGTTAATGCTTCCATTTTTTTTTAAAGGCAGAAATTCTAAAAATTACTTGTGGAATGTCTGGTATTTGAGGGATGATGTCAGAAGTGAATCTGTTCTGTTGGTCTCAACTCCACTTCAGACTCATCAGATGAGTCCTGTCATATGCATTTCTTTTCCTTTTTCTGCACATATATCTACTTTTGTTTCTTCCTAAGTGCCCAGTAATGTAAGGAAGCTAGTTCTAGTTGCCTTACAGAGCTTTAAGACTATAACGGAGACCTAGCATTCACATTACTTTGCATAAAGGTACTTATGAAAATTCAAAAACTTGGCAGGCTTCAGAAGGCAGTTATATAACGGTAAGTATTTTCTCTGATTGATCATTTTAATATGGATTAACATGAGATTTCCTGTAGATATTTTCAATTGAATAAGAATGGCAATAAAATAAATGACTAAAGAAAAGACTAAAATACATATGTATATTATTTATGTGTATAGTATATATGCATAAACTTACAAATGCTATGTTCCTTTGCTTATAGATATCATAATATGATCCTAGTTCTATACCTCCTTAACTATTTTTATTTTTATTTTTCTTAGAACACTGATATTTGCATTTCATGGAGAACAAAAGATGAAGAAGGAAAAGCAGTATATTCACTAAGGATCATATCTGCTTACTGCTACAGCCTTGTGTTTTAAGGGATTCTTCTGCTCCTTCTTACTTAGAAGTTGATCAGCTCTGTGGTCAGACAGCATTGGAGTTTGCCTGCCTTTATCTTGTCATTGCCAGAAGAAATCCTGGTCGGAATGTAACAGTACATCTCTATCTGATTGCTATGGAAGGTGATAAACTGACACTCACTTATTAAAGTTACACCTCATTCACTCATAGAAAACCATTCTTTAAAGTGAATAAAAACCAAGCCCTTGCGAACACTTCTATTGAACATGACTCATGGAGAAGAGCTTGGCTCTGATGTGCACCAGGATTCTATTGTTTTAACTTACCTAGAAGGATTACTAATGCATCAGGCAGCAGGGGGATCAGGCACTGCCGTTGACAAAAAGTCTGCTGGGCATAATGAAGAAGATCAGAACATTTCTGGCAGTGCATTTCCCACCTGTCAAAGTAATGGTCCAGTTCTCAATACACACACATACCAGGGATCTGGCATGCTGCATCTCAAAAAAGCAAGACTGTTGCAGTCTTCTGAGGACTGGAATGCAGCAAAGCGGAAGAGGCTGTCTGATTCTATCGTAAATTTAAACGTAAAGAAGGAAGCTTTGCTAGCTGGCATGGTTGACAATGTGCCTAAAGGCAAACAGGATAGCACATTACTGGCCTCTTTGCTTCAGTCATTCAGCTCTAGGCTGCAGACTGTTGCTCTGTCACAACAAATTAGGCAGAGCCTCAAGGAGCAAGGATATGCCCTCAGTCATGATTCTTTAAAAGTGGAAAAGGATTTAAGGTGCTATGGTGTTGCATCAAGTCACTTAAAAACTCTGTTGAAGAAAAGTAAGGCTAAAGATCAAAAGCCTGATACCAGTCTTCCTGAGGTAACTAAAAATCTCATCAGAGATAGGTTTGTAGAGTCACCTCACCATGTTGGACAAAGTGGAACAAAGGTCATGAGTGAACCCTTGTCATGTGCTGCAAGATTACAGGCTGTTGCAAGCATGGTGGAAAAAAGAGCTAGTCCTGCCACCTCCCCTAAACCTAGTGTTGCTTGTAGCCAATTAGCATTACTCCTTTCAAGTGAAGCCCATTTGCAGCAGTATTCGCGGGAACATGCTTTAAAAACACAAAATGCAAATCAAGCAGCAAGTGAAAGACTTGCTGCTATGGCCAGATTGCAAGAAAATGGCCAGAAGGATGTTGGCAGTTTCCAGCTCTCAAAAGGAATGTCAGGCCATCTTAATGGTCAGGCGAGAACATCATCAAGCAGACTAATGGCCAGCAAAAGCAATGCTACAACATTTCAAAACCCAGTGGGTATTGTTCCTTCCTCTCCCAAAAATGCAGGCTATAAGAACTCACTGGACAAAAACAATATAAAACAAGCTGCTAATAATAGTTTGCTTTTACATCTTCTTAAAAGCCAGACTATACCTAAGCCAATGAATGGACACAGTCATAGTGAGAGAGGAAGCATTTTTGAGGATAGTAGTACACCTACAACTGTTGATGAATATTCCGATAACAATCCTAGCTTTACAGATGACAGCAGTGGTGATGAAAGTTCCTATTCCAACTGTGTTCCCATAGACTTGTCTTGCAAACACCGAATTGAAAAACCAGAATCTGACCAACCTGTTTCTCTAGATAACTTAACTCAGTCCTTGCTAAATACTTGGGATCCGAAAGTCCCAGATGTAGATAGCAAAGAAGATCAAGATACCTCAAATAATTCTAAGCTGAATTCACACCAGAAAGTAACACTTCTTCAATTGCTACTAGGCCATAAGAATGAAGGAAATGTTGAAAAAAATGCCAGCCCTCAGGGAGTACACTGCGATGTGACAAAGTTCAATACACAAAATTACACAAGGACTTCTGTAATAGAAAGCCCCAGTGCAAATCGGACTACTCCAGTGAGCACTCCACCATTACTTACATCAGCCAAAGCAGAGTCTCCCATCAATCTCTCTCAGCACTCTCTGGTCATCAAATGGAATTCCCCACCATATGCCTGCAGTACTCAGTCTGAAAAGCCAACGAATACTGCCTCTAACCATTCAATGGACCTTACTAAAAGCAAAGAATCGCAAGGAGAGAAACCAGCCCCAAATGAAGGTGCACAAAACTCTGCAACTTTTAGTGCCAGTAAGCTGTTACAAAATTTAGCGCAATGTGGAATGCAGTCTTCCATGTCGGTGGAAGAGCAGAGAGCCAGCAAACAGATGTTAAGTGTAAACACAGATAAACCTGTAGGTATGATTGATAGATTAAATAGCCCTCTGTTGTCAAATAAAACAAATGCAGTTGAAGAAAACAAAGCGTTCAGTAGTCAACCAATAGGTCCCGAACCAGGACTTTCTGGTTCTGAAATAGAAAATCTCCTTGAAAGACGTACAGTCCTCCAGTTGCTCCTGGGGAACCCCAACAAAGGTAAGAGTGAAAAGAAGGAGAAAATTCCTCTAAGAGATGAAAGTACTCAGGAACATACAGATAGAGCTTTAAGTGAACAAATATTGATGGTGAAAATAAAATCTGAGCCTTGCGATGACTTACATATTCATAATACAAATATGCACTTGAGCCATGATGCTAAGAGTGCCCCATTCTTAGGTATGGCTCCTACTGTGCAGAGAAGCACAGCTGCCTTACCAGTGTCTGAGGACTTTAAATCGGAGCCAGTTTCACCTCAGGATTTTTCTTTTTCAAAGAATGGCCTGTTAAGTCGATTGCTGAGACAAAATCAAGAGAGTTACCTGGCAGATGATTCAGACAGAAGTCACAGAAATAATGAACTGACACTTCTAGAATCAAAGAATCTTTGCATGGTCCCTAAGAAAAGGAAGCTTTATACTGAGCCATTAGAAAACCCATTTAAAAAGATGAAGAATAACATTGTTGACGCTGCAAACAATTCCAGTGCTCCAGAAGTACTGTATGGGCCCTTGCTCAACCAGGAAGAGCTGAAATTTAGCAGAAATGATCTTGAATTTAAATACCCTGCTGGTCATGGTTCAGCCAGTGAAAACGAACATAGGAGTTGGGCCAGAGAGAGCAAAAGCTTCAATGTGCTGAAACAGCTGCTTCTCTCAGAAAATTGTGTGCGAGATTTGTCCCCGCACAGAAGTAACTCTGTCATCGACAGTAAAAAGAAAGGACACAAAAATAATGTGACCAATAGCAAACCTGAATTCAGCTTTTCTTCTTTAAATGGACTGATGTACAGTTCCACTCAGCCCAACAATGTCATGGATAACAGGACATTTTCATACCCAGGAGTATTAAAAACTCCCATGAGTCCTCCTTTCCCTGAGCACTTGGGCTGTGCGGGGTCTAGACCAGAACCCGGGCATTTGAATGGGTGTTCCGTGCCCAGTGAGAAAGGACCCATTAAGTGGGTTATCACAGATGTGGATAAGAATGAGTATGAAAAAGACTCTCCAAGACTGACCAAAACTAACCCAATACTGTATTATATGCTCCAGAAAGGAGGCAATTCTGTTACCAGTCGAGAAACACAGGACAGGGACATTTGGAGGGATCCGTCATCTGCCGAAAGTGTCTCACAGGTTACAATCAAGGAAGAGTTAGTTCCTGCTGCAGAAACTAAAGCTTCTTTCTTTAATTTAAGAAGCCCTTACAATAGCCATATGGGAAATAATGCTTCTCGCCCACACAGCGCAAATGGAGAAGTTTATGGACTTCTGGGAAACGTGCTAACAATAAAAAAAGAATCAGAATAAAATGTACCTGCCATCCAGCTTTGGATCTTTTTAAAACTAATTAGTATGAACTTGAGATCTGTATAAATAAGAGCATGATTTGAGAAAAGCATGGTATAATTGAAACTTTTTTCATTTTGAAAAGTATTGGTTACTGGTGATGTTTAAATATGCATACTGATTTTTGCTTAACATTAGATGTCATGAGGAAACTACTGAACTAGCAATTGGTTGTTCAACACTTCTGTATGCATCAGATAACAACTGTGAGTAGCCTATGAATGAAATTCTTTTATAATCATAAATAATAGGCATAAATTAAAATGTAAAACTCCATCCATAGTGGATTAATGCATTTTGCTGCCTTTATTAGGGTACTTTATTTTGCTTTTCATAAGTCAGCCTACATACCATTTTTTAAAATCCAAACTGTTAAATAACTCTTTAAAGGATAATTATTGAATAAAAAACCCTAGTGCTGATTTACATCTCATCCAATTTAAAAATAAATTAGAAAAATATATGCTTACATTTTTCACTTTTGCTAAAAAACATATTTATTTTTAACTCTTGGAAGGGATTTTATGGTTTCCAATGTGTCTGCCCCACCCAGTCCTTTTCAATATATATTTCTTTAAACCTTGTACTACTTAATAAAAATTGATTACAATTGAGGGAAGTTTGATAGATCCTTAAAAAAAAAAAAGGCAGATTTCCATTTTTGTATTTTAACTACTTTATTAAATTAATACTTCTCCTTTTACAGAATTAGGAAAGTTAATATTTATCTTCAGGTGGTTTCCTGAATAGTTAAATATTTAAGAAATTGTTTTTAACAACAGAAACAAAATGGCTTTTCTTTGGACAGTTTTCACCATCTCTTGTAAAAGTTAATTCTCACCATTCCTCTGGTAGCTGCGAGTCACGACCAGGATTCCTTAAAGCTGGACTCAGACCACTTGCATTAGAATCATCTGGAGCATTTGTTTTAAAATGCAGATTCACAGGCATCTCAGATCTACAGAACAAGAATCTCTGCTAAGTGAACCTGAGAATCTTCCATCTGCATCCTAACATGCTCCATAGGTGTTTCTTCTGCACACTGAAGTTTGAGAACCATTGCTTATGACTTTTCTCAGAACATGGGACTGTAAAAAAAACTATTTGATGCCTATATTTTCCCCAGTACAGTCACACATCAACTCAAAATTTGCAATATTGTAGTTCGTATTATTACCGTTATGTCTTTGAAAATCGGGTTCAGAATAACTTTTTATGACAAAAAAAAATTGGGTGGAGGGGACAACTTTCATAACTGGCTCAACATCTCAGGAAAATCTGTGATAATTTATGTGTTCTAATGAGTAACATCTACTTAATTAGCCTTAGGGATGGAATAACAGGGCCACTTACCAAACTCAGGTGATTCCAGGATGGTTTAGAAACTTCTCCTGAATACATCCTTAACTTCTATTAAAACCATTGTCCTAAGAATAATGTTGACAAAGATTAAAACAGTTCAAACCCAAGAAAGGCACTAAACTCAGATTGACTAAACAAAAAAGTACAGAGGGCAAATATAGATGACAGAATTACACACAATCACTTCATCGGATGTATTATTTTAAACTAGTGATTAAAAGTAAACATTGATACTGTCTTAGAAGAACTTAATATATTATGAGCCACATGGGATTTTGATCTTGAAACAAACCTGTTTTTAAGTTCAATTTTTACAAGCCACAGTTCATTCACCAGATAATATTTTTGTTTTTAATTTTGAACCAGATTAGTAACTGACCTATCAAAAATTATTATAATCACTTAATTAGGAAATTCATTTAAAGTTATTCTACTTGAAGTTGTTTCTAAGATTTTTATATTAAAAGTGGGTGTTATTTCCTAATATCTGAAACCCTAAATGGCTTTTTTCCTCAAAATGATTTGTAAATAATTACTAGAGATATTATACAATAATAGGAGTGAATATTATGCTAGATCATGGAGAGGTGAAGGCATATGCTTCTTCAGACACAAAATTCCACTGGCCAGTGAATATGTTCTATTCCATGTCCATAATGTGACAATCTTATTGTCGACACTGTATAAGTAAGCTTTTAAGTCATTTTTCTTGGTCATTGTGAAAGGTCTGGAGCCTTAGAGGTATGTCAGAAAAAAGTGTGGGTATTCTCCACTGGTTAGGAGGAAATGGGCTTTTTACAAGGGAGTGAAATTTAGGTCAGGGAAAAGAACATCATGGGCCAGCATTACTATTTTTTGTTTTGTTTTTTGGTTGGTTATTTTTGTTATCAGTTAAGGAAATGAGAATATGTAATACTTATATAAATGTGACCACAAAGAATGCAGTTCTGATTTACTAGAGAATGCCCCCAATTTGAGTTTAGGATGATTTTAAAGAATAGCAGTAAGAAAGGGCATACATCCACAAATTCACTTTGTTTATGCATATGTAGATACAAGGATGCACATATACACATTTTCAAGGACTATTTTAGATACCTAGACAATTTCTTCCTAATAAAGTCATTTGTGAAAGGGTACTACAGTTCTCATTGGCATCAGTAAGGTAGCATTCGTTACCTGTTTATTCTCTGCTGCATCTTACAGAAGAGTAAACTGGTGAGAGAATATATTTTATATATATATATATATATAAAATGTATATATATATATTGACTTGTTACATGAAGATGTTAAAATCGGTTTTTAAAGGTGATGTAAATAGTGATTTCCTTAATGAAAAATACATATTTTGTATTGTTCTAATGCAACAGAAAAAAGCCTTTTAATCTCTTTGGTTCCTGTATATTCCATGTATAAGTGTAAATATAATCAGACAGGTTTAAAAATTGTGCATGTATGTATACAGTTGCAAGTCTGGACAAATGTATAGAATAACCTTTTATTTAAGTTGTGATTACCTGCTGCATGAAAAGTGCATGGGGGACCCTGTGCATCTGTGCATTTGGCAAAACGTCTTAACAAATCAGATCAGATGTTCATCCCAACATGACAGTTTTCCATTTCTGGACATGACTTCTGTGGTTTAAGCTTTGTGGAAGAATGTGCTTTGAATTCAAGGGTTTTAATTTTTTTTTTAAATCAAGTCAACCACTTTTCAATATAAAGAATTTACACAGCTACTTTCATGAATTTTTTAATCCCATTGGAAACATACCAGAAGTATTCTGGTATTAGCAAATACTGGAATACAAGCACATTACCATTCATAATAAGAATTCTGGGGTTTACACAACCAATTTTGATGCAATCTGCTCAGTAATATAATTTGTCATTTTTATTAGAAATTTAATTTCTTCATGTAATGTCATGAAACTGTACATACTGCAGTGTGAATTTTTTTGTTTTGTTTTTTAATCTTTTAGTGTTTACTTCCTGCAGTGAATTTGAATAAATGAGAAAAAATGCATTGTCTCTGGTTTGAAATGACTGTTATTTTATGAACTTTCTCTGCTTTTCAGGTTTTTCCATAAAAATAAAACACATTGCTATGAAAATAGCAATAGATCTTCAGGGATGTTTTGGCCTTCTCAGAAAAAAAAAAAGGGTTGCCTGCAAGTCAGTGCATGTAGAAATAGTAATTAAAGCATGGCAAATGACAATCAGTCTATATCCTCTCTTCTGTTTCAGTTTGTAACTGGGTAGCCACTGTAGATTTTTAAACTGGAAAATAATTTATTTGTACAGTATTCAGAAATAAAGTTGACTATACATAACACATATTTTAAGAAAAGATTTTATTAGAGGGCTATTATGCACTTTTCATTGGGTGTTAAGTTTATTTTAAATAAAAGAATAAAAGTCTTTAATAATTTTCCAAAAATGAATGTGTGTGCACACATACACATATTTAAATAGATACTATATGTGTATAGGTAATGAGTAGTTGGAAATGATAAGCAACATTCATATGTAATAAGTAATGTAGAGACTAGTTTATTTAGGGGAAAAAAATCTGGCCTGTGCACCTGTTACTGAGCAGCCACTAGGCTTGGTGTCCAGTGCACATAGTTGCCAATACTATGGCACCAGTTTTTGAGAAAATTTCTTTATTGAGAATTGACTGGCAAGGAGACAGGACAAAATGCTCAAATCTGTCTCCCCAAGCTGGGACTGGGTCGAGTTTTATAAGCATGGGGTAATGAGGTGTAATTTGATTGGTTCTTGCAATGATGTGATGCTGGGAGACTTAATTCCTGCCATGGGGGTCACACCTGAGCTTGATGTGATTGAATCCTAGAACTTGCCATGTGGTCAGTGTCTGCTTCTGAATTCATTTTCACACTCCTCTGTCTGAACACTCCTCTGTCTGAACTTAAGTTCCACCTGTGGTTGTACACTTGATTCACCTGGGCATGGTAAGGTTACCTGACCTTCAACCTGAAGGTCAAGGTTGGCAACTGAAACACAGTTCACAACTTTGTTACATAAAAGTTGAGCTAGATTGGTCTGGTGTGGCTACATACTCTTGTGAACCTATGGCCTAGGAATATTTATTTTTACAAATTATATTAATGATAATTTAGGAGGAAGACATTTTCCCAAAGAGTTCTATTTCCTGGGACTAAAATGGGTCTATTATAATTCATGTAGCTTCTTTTAACAAATTTATAAACATCTAAAAATTGTTCAAGTAATAGAAATACATTCTACTGTTTTAGATTCTTAAGATGTTGAAAACTTACATCTTGCTATATGTATAGATGCTGACATCAGAATGAGAGATGCACTACCATATTTTGTTATATTTATTTATATGGTAAAAAAGAAAAAGCATGACAAGTGCATCAAGTAATAAATTACATAAGAGATTTTTATAATGAGAACCACGAGTTAGCAATTCTTGATTATAAAACAGTACCAATGACTTTACCATTGAGGGTCTTTAAAATCAAATTAGATTAAAATCCCTCATACTATGTAAGTTTCTATTTCAAGCTTATTAGTGTGGAAAATTGTCAACAGAGAAATACTTTTGAAATTTCTTTTTCTAACATGGATATAACTAAACTGCAACCTGTTTGGCTCCAGATTTTTTTTTTTTTTTTTTTTGAGACAGAGTCTCACTCTGTTGCCCGGGCTACAGTGCCGTGGCATCAGCCTAGCTCACAGCAACCACAAACTCCTGGGCTCAAGAGATCCTCCTGCCTCAGCCTCCTGGGTAGTTCGGACTACAGGCACGCATCACTATGCCCGGCAAATTTTTTCTATATATTTTTAGTTGGCCAATTAATGTCTTTCAGGCTGGTTTTGAACTCCTGACCTTGAGCGATCCTCCTGCCTCGGCCTCTCAGAGTGCTAGAATTACAGGGGTAAGCCACTGCGCCCACCCTAGAAAATATGTTTTAAATGTTCATTATTAAGCATGCCAGTAATTTTTTGTTTATTCCATAAAACTTGAAGTATCTAATACTACCTCACCTCAGAATTGGTAGAAAAATCTATTGGCATCATTTAGCCTTCATTTAATACTCCAATTCTCTAAATGGTTGGTACAATAATTATTTACAACATTTTTAAGATGCCATTTTCATAAATAAGTTAAAGATTTCTGCTCTTACACAAAATTAATGTACTCTTGAGTTGGTAGTAGAATAGTTGAAATCCCATAAATTCTAGTTCTGGAGAAGAGCTGCTGCACTTTTGATGCCCTCTTATGAGTGTCTAAAAGAAGTATATAAACCTTTTCAACAATAAACCAAATTTTGAATTAATGTACTCTCGCACTCAGAAGAGAATTTCTGAGCCATTCTAAATAGTCTTTATACAGCCTTTGTACTGACACAAAGACTTAGACAAGCGCCTGCTTTTCCTCCCTTGCTTTTTACCAAACGTCACTGGTAAGTGCTCTGACCTTTGAGAAATGTCTCCAATCCTTTTGGACTATGCGTTTTCCCCATTTTTGCTAATAAACATCCCCCTCTGAGATCACATCTGGAAAATGCCCTAATTTTTCATAGCTGTCATAGCCTGTGTGTTTGGAAAGCTGCATATACAGTGTCACACAGTAGAGCTATGGTAAAGGTTCCTACAGTACATTGTCTGAAATTCTGTGATAATTCGAAGGTAGAACCATGGGATAATTTTCTTATAATTAGAAAACTACAATTTTCTCTAAAGGCTGAAGGGTTGCCTCTGGCAGCCACTGTGACTAATCTTTCCATAAGCAAGCTGCAAGTCCTTAAAAGACTTTTAGCATCCTGTGGAATGTACCAGCTAGCCTTGCTACATCTTGTAGCGTGCACTGCCTTTTTGCCTCTCTCGCCTGAGCTTGTGAATTGTCTTGTGTTCTCGGTTTATTCAAAGTGGCACCTTTGAATTTATAGACTTATTAGGTGAATCTTGAGGGAATAATGGGAAAGATCATCTTTCTTTCCCTCTCATAACTTTATAGTCACTTTCAAAAACAAAATTGTAATGTTAATCTCAGCCACCGTCCCAACCTTCTAAATCATCCTTTTGCCTTTCAATTACCTTTCTTTTGGGGATACAGATTACCCATTAAAAAAGCATTTAGAGTGTTGATACCTAATGTAGATACAAACAGGCTCAGTCCAGTCAGTGGGAGAGACTAAAGCACAGGGTTAATGCCAGTGGGGTAAATGATGTAGCGCATACTGATCTCTTGCTTTAGATCTCTAGCTAAGGCCTTTGTCTTCATTTTCCGTAATTGCTTTCTTATTACTAATAAATATTTTCCTTCACAAGACCATACCATTGGGTTTGCTGCCTTCATTACATGTCACCTCAGCATAGAAGGTGCTGAATTAAAGTTACAATGGCCTTTTCATATGTCCATAAAAACCTAGGCATTTATCCATAAAACCACTGTTCTTTTCTTGCTTCTCTAAGGGCAGTTGGCAACACTGTGGGAAAGAAACTGTTTCCACTCCTCCCCACCTTAAACAACATACACAGAGATTTTTATGTCCTAAGCAGAGTCTAAAATGGGGACTCACACGTGGCTAAATTCTCGGGCTAGTCCTCCCAGAGGGCACAGCAATTTAGGGCTCAGTGGGCTCAAGCATTATTATCTGCTCTTCTACACACTTTCACCTCCATAATCAAATGTACTACTATCTCACTTTACTTAGCTCTATACTAATAACGATGATTGTAATCATCTTTCCAAAGTGAGCAGCTTGCATATCATTTCAATCCTTTGAAATTGCTTGCAACCTAAAGAATTTTATGCCCTTCCTATGTAGTCAGATCCACCTGCCAAAGAATAGACAGCCCTCCGAAAGGGATAGTTCTTGCCGAAGTCCACCCTGGAAATGCCTGTTTGGGGGAGACTGAGATGCTCAACGGTGGAAGTTCTGACCTATTTTTCAGGATCTTATGCTGGAAGGTATATAACAAGAATATAACAGTCCATAGAAAATAAAGATTAACTGCTCAGAAGACAAGCAGACCTGAGTCAGAGACAGAGCATGTCCTGCCAATACTTTCATTTCTGGCCTGGGCAAGCCATTGACACATGATCTGTTTGGTCTTCACAACCTAGTGTTTCCCACTAATTTTGTTTTGTCTCACAAGAGGTTCTTTTACCCATAACTGTTCATGTTCTGCCCTTTCAGTTCTCTTGTCTTCCTTCATACCTTTGGCAATACCAGTCATCCCTATGTTCAAAAACCCCATATTTTATTCCAAGTTCGATCTAATTATCTTCTGTTTCCTACTACTTATGGATATCCACCTTGTCAACTATTAATATCTGAATTTCAACTCGTCCCAGTCTTGAATTCAGTATACATTCATTATCCCCGATTTGTTCTTCTGTCCCTTGGTTGGAAATTCATTTGTTTCTAAAAGTGTTGGTCCTCAGTGAACTCTTCTTATAGTATTAATAGCTACTATTATTCATTGAAAATTTCCTTAATCGCAACTCATCTCCTTTGCCTTAACTCAGAGCCTTGTCATATCTCACCTCAAGTATTTCTCTAGCACCTACTTGGCCTATCTTCCTCCCATATGTCCTTTTTTTTTTTTTTTTTTTTTTTTTTTGAGACAGAGTCTCGCTTTGTTGCCCAGGCTAGAGTGCCGTGACATCAGCCTAGCTCACAGCAACCTCAAACTCCTGGGCTCAAGCAATCCTGCTGCCTCAGCCTCTCAAGTACCTGGGACTACAGGCATGCGCCACCATGCCCGGCTAATTTTTTCTATATATATGTTAGTTGGCCAATTAATTTCTTTCTATTTACAGTGGAGATGGGGTCTCACTCTTGCTCAGGCTGGTTTCGAACTCCTGACCTCAAGCCTCCCAGAGTGCTAGGATTATAGGCATAAGCCACCGCACTCAGCCCTCCCATGTTTCCTTTTCCCAATAAAAATACCTCTATTGCCAGAGCAATCATTCAAAAATATAAATCTGTTAATTCTGCCTAAAACCATCTGGTGACTTTTTATTGCTT